TGTTTAATCAGGGCTTGGCTGCTTCTAGGGGTGGAGAAGTTGATCCTCTGAATTGTGTCTCTTGGGTAGAACTGATGGAGAGGGGACCTCCTCCCTCAATCTATGTTTGTCTATAGAACCTGCTTCACTAACGTGAAGACAGAAGACCCCAAAGATGCTGATATGCTGGTGAAACAGGACAAAGAATTGAGATTACTGGCTTTGGGGGATGACAGATCCCTCCCTGGTTTATCAATCTCAGTGTCCGAGGACAAAAACAGAGCCGTAGAACTTTATAGGTAGTGGGTGCAGGTGCCAAACACAATGCATCTTTTTTTCTTCCTGAAAATGGCTTATAATGATATTCAGGAAAGACTGAAATTATAGAACTGGTTTTCATACAACTAGAAAACTGTGTTGCTGGAAATCTCAATGATATTCAAGGAGAAAAAGGTTAAAACACCCCATCTTTTGCTCTAATTCCTTGTTAATTAGAAAGCCTTGTTTGTTGAATGGTAACAAATCTAGGCCTATGGTTTGCAGCTGAGCTAGTACAGGGAGCTTCTGAGGAATGCTCTGAAGTAGTGTGGGGAAGTCCCTTAATCCATCCCAGGTCATAGCTGAGGTTCCCTCAAATAAAAGATACTTAGCAAGAGAAAAACATACAAATTTAAGTTTTTATGTGACAATGGAAACTTCAAAAGACAATAAAGACTCCAAGAAATTATTAAACTGCTGCATTTTGATGTTTGATGAAGTGGGTGGCTGTGGAAAAATGGGCTTGGGCAAAGGAGTGATCTAATAATAAATGGGGAGGTTTAGGACGGGCTGATTCTTCTTGGTGTCCCTGGATCGTTGGTTCCTCACTCACATGCAGGGGGTTGTCCCTCTCACAGTGAGGGTCTTGTGATCTGCTTCAGGAGTTCAGAAAATATTTCTTTCCCCACAGATGGGTTTTAAATATTTGGCCCTAGCTCAGATCTAGGTTGAAACATGTATGTCTTAGGAACTGTCAAAGTATTTTTTTTCAAAGAATTAACTCCTTGTCAAAGGTGGGTACAGGGCATTTATCAGCTAGTTCCAGTGTGAAAGCCAATGATGCTATAAAGTACTGCAGACACTCTCCTAATGTGGTAGGCTCAGTAGGTTCCAAAGAGTGCTTTTCTGGAGGTGTGATTTTTCAGTCCAATGATGTTAACGATGTTAACACTAAAAAGAACCTTAGTTTTTGTGAATTCCAATTTCTGGAACACTGTTGATACAAGGAAGTAGATGTTTTTAACCACTAAGAGATTCAGAATAAAATGTAACAAACTTCGAGGCTAGCTCTCTCATTAACCTCTTGGTTGATTGACAAGGAGCATCTTGCAGTTGCCATTTTGGGAAAGTGCTAGCGGATCCCTGGATTCAGAGATAATCCAGAGTGTGGGCATCCCAGGGTTTTATCTCACATAGCTCAACTATCTATGTTTCCTTTCACTTTGGCCAAGGAAGGAGTCTAATCCCTTGTCTGGTCTGTGGAGTGAGTTTCCAATTAGACTGGAAAATCTCAGTGTGCTGTGTTCAGGCCCTTATTCCCAGTAGGACAGAGAAACGTTTGAAGAAATATGATTGTATGATGAGCCTTCTCTGATAGTAGTGCTGTATCAAGCGTCTTGGAAACAAATAGAGTCATTAACTAATGTATGTACCATGGGACACTGCATTCTTTGAAAATTTTGTCGGCTTTTTAGAATTTTTTTCTATTTTCCAATTCTGTCAGAAAGTTAGCTGTCACATATGACTGCCCAGTGTCCCTACCCAAAGCAGCATCTCTTCCCATTCTAGTGCAGGTTAGACCCAAACTCCTAAGGACTGCTGTCTTTGTAATTAGGTGACAGTGTCAAAAAATCGAAGGGAAGTTTTCAGAGAGCATTTGTGTATGGTAATATTTTCCTTTAACTATTCAACTGGGGTGTCTTAAGATGTACACTGACCAGTCTATAGGTTGTTTAGTTACTCGTTTATTCATCATCTGTTTTAGGAGTATATACTATATACCAATCTAGAGATTGGGCTAAAAAAAGGTCAGCAAACCAGATTTATCTATGAGTTTTACTGATAGATCACAGATTGAATATAAAAGACTGAAATGCCTAAAGAAAACCAAATTGCTTTTCAGCAATTCAAAGAACCTATGTGAGATTGCCACATCCTAGCCTACGCTATAGAGTTCTCCTTAAGTACATTTGATATGAGAAGTGGTACCAGGCATTTTCTGTATTACAATAGTCTTCATATATTTATTAAGCCATAACTTGTAAGGCATCCTGACGGGACATTAAATGAAGCTCCGTGGGTGCCACATTGTGTCCTTGTCAAGAAGCACTCTGTTGGCACCTGCCTGTGTCATTCAGTGGCCTTGAACTGGTGGTGGGGCATGCTTCCCTCATCCCAGGAGGGGTTGGGGTTCTGCACAAAGAGGGCTAAGACTAACGACAGGATTGATTTCATGGTGTGTTGGAGGGAAGGTACGTAGACAAAGCTAGGGAGAGAATGAAGCCTCTTGCCTTGTATATGTTACAACTTTATTTCCTTTAAGCACAGCAGCTAAATATTCCAGAATTATTCTACAGTTTTTTTAATACCAAGAAAATGCTAGGTTACTGCATTTTTTTTAAAAGTCTCACTGCTCCAACTGTTGACCTGGCCCAGGTTAGGAGGATCTGAGAAGTCTAAGCATTATAGTGGCATGGTAGAGGAGTCCAGCAGTTTCCCATCAGTACTGAGCTCTCTGCCTGGCAGGGCTGGCTGCACACTAATAACAGAGACTAAGCTCTGTGAAAGGCAAGAGGGCATAGAAGAGGAGAATAAAAATGCAGGGATATGGGGGAGAAAGGGGAAGGAGACCAAGGGGAAGAGGTAGCAAGTGGATTTGGTGGTTCTTTCTCTCCCTTCTCACAGCAAAGACAGTGACAACGCAGGCCAACTGAGGCCGAGGGGGGAGGAGACAGGATAGGAACTGTTTAAACGCATGAAGAAGACATTGGCACAGAGAGGGGAGCTCATACTTTGGTTACTCCGAGAGCCTTCAATTGCTCCCAGTGGTGCATCTACCAAATAGCCAGTGTCCCTTGTGGAAGACATTTCCCTGACTCTTGTATTAACTTTAATGCGATTCTCTTTATGGTTCTGTATATCTGGTCACGGTTTCATTGACACTCTGTGTGATCAAATAGCAAACGTGGAGGCATGGTTCTGTTATCCCTACCCCCTTGCCGGGTGCCTCAGACTTCTGAGTCAGTGCTTCCTGTGTTTGATGTCTGCCATTCCTCCTTGTCTACAGGTAGGAGAGTTAAAAGGGGAAAACGCACGCCTAAGGACTGCCACCGTTAAGCTCATGCATACAGATATTCAAAGGAGCCAGAAGAAACTCTAAAATCACAGCTCAGTATTTTTTTGAAGTAAAGGAGTTGACTCTTTCACTTCTGGTCTGGGTATATGCCTTGACCCCATACCACACACACACAGTGCCTATACTCTGCTTCTTAGATCTTTCCTTATTTTGCTACAGGATCCAGCTCAGAAGGCTTTCCAGAATGCTGGCTCTGGGCTGGATTCTTTCCAAGTAGATACCAGTCATTTTCCCCCTTTAGAGCAGCTATGTTATTTTATAATTTTTGCTTTTCCTCTTTGGACTCTTTGAACAATATGGGTTATAATTGAATAACTTTTCAGATACCATACCACAGTTACTCAATATGTCCTGGAAAAGGGATTTAGCCAGCAGCAAGGGGGATCTGGAGTAGTTAGGAGGATAGTTTTCCCCAGATTTACACAGCTATAATTTTTTTTTTTAATGTAATCTTGAAAGTTTGGGCAATATTTATTTGTGGTCCTAGGAACCACAGGCCTGATGCATGAGGGGTTTTAAAACCAGGCTTGACAGACTTAAGTGTGTACAGGAACCACCTGAAGACCTTGTTAAAGTACAGATTCTAGTGTTGCTGTGGGCTCTCAGACCAGGTACTTTAAAGTGTCCTCGTAACCTGATGCTGTTGAATGTGAACCATTCTCTGAGTATGGGCCTTGAAATACTTTCTAGAAAGTTAAGTTGGGCTTTAGTCTATGACAATATTTAAATATATTTTACACTTTTCAGAACAGCAGATTTCTGAGAGAAGACATAAATAACTCATTTCTAGTTGGAAATTTATAAAAATTTCCCAACTTAAAAATAGTGTGGGAAAACAATCTAGGGCCTGGAGAGATGATTCAGTGGTTAAGAGCACTGGCTGCTCTTGTAGAGAACCTGGTTTGATTCCCAACACCCACATGGCAGTTAACAACCATCTGGAACTCTAATTCCAGGGGATCTGATGTACTTTTTTGACTTCCATGGGCATTTAATGACAAGGGTGCACCTACCTTCATGCAAGGAATACACTCATATGCATAAAATAAAAAATAAACAAAATAAAATAGCACATCTAGGCTGGTTGTGGTGGCACACACCATTAATACCACCATGTGGAAGGCAGTGGAAGGCAGAGGCAGGCAAATCTCTGAACTCTGAGTTCCAGGCTAGCCTAATCTATATAGTGAGTTCTAGACCTGTCAGGCTACATAGAGAGATTCTGTCTCAAAAAAAAAAGGACATCTTCCAGTGCCCCGCTCTGGCTTTGGAAAGATACTTTGTTTTGTACTATCCTAATTAACTTGCAGCTTTACTTCTTTAGGGATTGGGCAGGCCCTACCTCTAACATTGGACCCAATGTAGCTACTTCAACAACAGTGACTTTTAAAGAAGGGATATTCTGTGGAAGATTAACAATGGAAAGGTTGTGTTTGTGATAAGACCTTCACAATTATTGATTGTTCCCAAGTTAGCATGGTGCAGAGCCCTTCTGCAAGGATATTTGGTTGGAATGTGCTGGCTGGAACTCTGAAAGTGAAACCTTGCCTCCTCTTACCCATGTTCAATCCGGCCTCTGAAATTGATGTTTGAAGTTTCTTCTTACAAGATGGCTTTTGTTTTACAGGTTCCTGGCAGCCAGCATGGTACCCTGTTTATAACACGTGGAGAAGAGGGAACTCACTGTGCTCAGGTAAATGAATGATATGTGAACTACAAATGACAAGTAGGTTGTCACTGTATGGGAACTGATTTGCATCATCAAATCACCAACATCTCTTGGGTGCATCTTGCCCAGTGATGCCTGTGGTTTAGAGAGTCTGCGGTAGGAAACTCAGTGAACTAACATGTGTGTGGGAGCATCAAGGCACATAGAGCAAGGCCTCTGGAAACCAACAGTGAAAAAACACAGTTGGTCATATGAAATCATATACCAACTTCTAGGGACTGAGTGTAGAATTATTGCTATTGTTCATCTTTTTTTACTTTATCAGAAATCTTTTTTCAACATTTATGTAAATACTGAAGACTTCAAATTAAAGTCTTACCTCTGTGGCCTTATTTGAAGTTGTCCTTATAAAGTTCTTTTGCACTCTTTCTTTTTAAATAAATGCATACCTCACAACTTGATTTGCCCAAATAGGTCACTTAGATTAATTTTCCATTAACTTTTATTGCCTCTGTTTCTTTCTAATCATCTTTTTTCAGTGGATTAAACAGTCCCTGCTGGATCAGTCTGCTCCTGTGAATTGAAACCATCCTTTTCTCTGGTGGCTTTTATAGAACTGACATAGATGTAATGATCTGGTTAACTGAGCCAAACACCTGTAGAAATGACCCCTCACCAGGATTCTTTTGACCACAGCAATTTTGTTTCTGAGCTTATTTCTTTGCTGACCTGATCTATATCACTGTCTTTTAGTTCGTAAGGCTAGATATCCACAATGGAGGTGTGGGCAGGGTTTCTTTGGATTGTGAGAATCTGTTCCAGACTGAATTCTATTGCTTCAGGCATTCCTTGGCTTATAGATACCATCTTTCCCCTGACTTTTCACATTCTTTTCCCTCTATGTCTGTCTGTCTCCATGTCATAGTGGATTGGGGAAGATTCTCATGACCTAATCTTAACTTCATCAATGTAAAGGGCCCTGTTTCCAAATCAAGTTACATTTGTATGTACAGAAAGTTAGGTCTTCAGCAACTTTTAAAGTTACACAATTCAACTACAGTATTTTCTGAGGAGAACTTCTCTTTGTATCCCCTAACAAATCTAGGACTCTACTTTCTACCTAATATTGACCGAATAAGTGAAAGACCACGTTGGCCATAGTCGAACTGAATAAGAAAAGCAAAGTGCATTTGCCAGGGGTGGGCAGGTCTCACACTCTTATCTTCAGTGAACTTTTCATTCAGAATAGTTCAAGTTAAATAGTATCTTAATAGGAAAGACTCCTCCTCTAAAAGTTATCTATCTAGCAAGAGAGCTTAAAATATATATATAGCTCCTGGTGTGAGTGTCCTGCCTTCTCTGCTGGCATCCAGGCTGAACGGCTAATTTGCATACCGCCTCTATCAGTACATCAAGATATCTTTGCAGCTAATTCAGTGCCATTTAAATCATACTTAGCTGGGCTATTCTGCCTTTCCAGCTGCATCGTTTTGCACTTATTAAATTTAATGTTCTGTTTCCTAGCCTTAATTCATGAATGCTATCCTTGAACAGATCCGCCCTCACAGCGTCTTCTCCCTTCTCTATATTTCTTTAGCTCAAAGTATTAGAAGTTTATCTTTTCAGGGTCCAGATTTGGATATTCATAAAAAATTAAGATACTGATCTTCAGGTAGCACTTAAGTAGTTATTTATCATTAGAGATGTTTGTTTGGGAAACCTTTATTTTCTCTTAGGTCGGTGCTTTCTGTCTAAGTCTGTTATAGAAAAGTGTTAGCTAAAAAGTTAAGAGGAAGGTTGGAGAGATGGCTCAGTGATTAAGAGCAGTGGATGTTCTTTCAGAGGACCTAGGTTGAGTTTCCAGCACCCACATGGTAGCCAACAACCATCTGTAACACTAGTTCTAGGGAATCCAACACCCTCTTCTGATATCCTTGGCATTGCACGCACATGGTATATTTATCTGCATGCAGGCAAAGCACTCATACACATGAAATAAAAGTAAATGAAAAAAAATTTAAGTTAAGAGGAAGCCTCTTGCTGAGAAGAGTCAAAGACCAAGGGCAGAGTTCCATCCTGGAGTGAGTGGACAGGTTGGGAGAACTGGCATTCTGTTAAGCCCAGAGTGAGTGCTGTATGGAGCTGTTCTGAGTTGGCAGGCAGAGGTCTAGATACCAAGGGTAGGAGTCAGGTCTAGCCCTCCAGGAAGCCAACCCTGTAGCCCATTAGAATTATTTATTATAGACATTTCCAGCCCAGGGGAGTGTCCATATTCCCGGAGATGAGCCTGAGGCTGGCCCATGACCAAGTGATAACATTGATTTCAACAGCACTGGATTTATAAGATGTTGACAGGCAGTACAACGTGAAAGTGAAAATAAAATTTCATTTTAGCATTTTTCACACCGACAGTGGTCCTTACAAAGTGGTAAATCATACAGCAAGTATTTATGGCTTGTGTGATACATGCAGGCACGGTTCCTCCAAATGCCACATGAGGAAGTATAACTTCATCCTGATTCCCCCACGGCTGAATTTTCTTTTCCTCTTATTCCAGGGCTGGCTGGCATCAATTAAAGGCCTTTTGTAACTTCCCGTGTGCACTTTCCTTTTTGGGTATTTTGAGGATGTCTATAGGGCTTCATTAAAATTAAAACAACTAAATTTGTTTTGATCACACAATGATCTAATCAGAGTGATGCTGGAATTGGCCTCCATTGCCTTCAGGTAGAGCCCAGAGAACAATTACATTCTGATAATTAAACTGACCAAAGCTAGCTAGTGAATTACTCTGCACTTTGCTACTACAATGGTAATGCTCTAATAATTCTTATTTTAACAGCTAAGGTATATTGTGTGGCCCTTATGCTTCTCTATTGTGGTGATAAAAACGGCCCAGAAAGAAGATGTCAAGCCTCTGCCTTCGGCCTCAGCTCTCCTGTGGCCTCATGTTTTCTCCTCACCCCTCTGCATTCCTCACTTCACCGATCTCAGATTTGAGAACTCAGACATTAGACTCTCATGGAAGTGCTAATGTTTGCTGTTAAACTCTGGTTTTTCAAAAGTGAGAAGTCATGTTTATATCTCTTAAAGGTTGTTTATGGGATTATGGAAAGTAATTTAATTAAACAAATTGTATTTTGAATTAAGATTTTATCAAAATTTATCCGGAAAATTTTGCATATGAATAAGGTAAAATGTGAACCTAAGTGTTTGCTTTCCCCAGATACTTCTCTCCAGTGGCTCCCTCTTTGTTTAATTTAAAATCTGTGAGTGTATGTGAAGTGATCCTAAACTGGCAGTTTACAAGAGATGAAGGAGAACAGAGGGCTTCTGACAGGGAGCTCAGAAGCGTGGCTCCTCCATCTGTTGCTGCATACATGTACTTTGCATTAGACTTTGTCAAATCCCTGTAGTTCACGTTTTTATACTCCTTTTCTTCTAGGACTGTCCCTTTTCTAGGCTTTTATCACTTGCCCTGTAGCCTGCTTATTAGTTTATTCATTCATTCATCCATCCACCCATCCATCTATCCATCCATCCATCCATCCATCCATCCATTCATTCATTCATGCATTGCCTTTGCATCATGTGCCAATATATACTCTGGAGAAAATGTCAAGAAGGTTATAATTCAGATGGCAAATAGTCATTTGAAAGCAGTTGCTGTAATGTAGCCCTATCCTGCATATGTCTTCCGTACAACACAATCGGCTTAAGGGAGTTGGAGAATGTTTTCATAGAGAACATTTAATGGAATGGAGCTTGGAAAAACAGAAGAGACTGTCAAGTGGATGAGCATCATGGAGAGAGAACATGTCCGAGGAGATGGGATCCATTTGCAGGGTGCAGAGTATGCTGTGTGCTTCGTGGTGTTAGGGGATCTTTGGAGCATACATGGCAAGAAATATAAAACTGGATGAGGCTCTATGGGAAGGTGGAATCTAGCTCTTGCATAGCTTTTTTCACATGGCTGAGCCTTCCTTTCTCTCTCAAAATGTGCACAGTAGTTGTCTTCCATTCATCCTGCACATTGCAAGGACAATGGCAGAGTTTGTAAGTGTGCATATCCTACCAAACTCTTTATGACTTTCAGCTCCACTCACTGTTTCCAACTGGAAGTCAGGTGTCCGCTTACTTCTATTTACCCTATTAAGTCCTTTATTCAGTGAGATCTGTCCATTTGGCTTCTTATACAGTTTCCTACTTTCTGCTTCCATTTTCAAAATCTTTGAAAGACTTCCCTGTGATTTGTATCTTTTATGGAAACTGTATTCCTGAGTGATTTTTTCCCCCTTCTGAACTTTCAATGACTTCTCATTTTCACTTGCTTCTTAGGTCACAAGTATTTTTATAAACTCTCAGTAAGATGCCCATATGTTGAAGGGAAGGGCTGCATACCTTTCATGTACCCTATCCATGTTGAAAGAACAGCTTCTCCTCACTTATGTTTGTTCAAAGAATGAAAGGAAACAGAGTTCCTGTAATTTGTGAGGCTTTTACTGAGGTGGAACTGAGGGATTGATTAGTTGTCAGAGGGAAGATGCAGTGGTTAATGTAATATCCAGATGAAACTCTTGCATGGAAGAATAATTGTCAATGGAAGCAGAAGGCTTGCATTGAACAAAAAGCAGGCATAGGTGGAGAAAGGATGTCAGGTTTAAGTGGAAATCAAACTACTATAAGGTTTTGACATAGGAAGAAGACACTTACCCATTAAGCCACATATAATTGTCTTTGACACTGAGTAACGACTGGCCCAACAGGTAAAAGCACCTATATTGTATTAAGATGCTCTGTGTTATTATATGAATGATCTCTGGTAAACCTGATTCAATTTAAGACTTCTCAGTTACAGATCTGGAGACGATCACAGATTCAAAAATATATTTATGAAACGCTGTTGCCACTGAGCTCAAAAGACCATAATCTTATTACTTGTGATTTTTGAAAAGGGTAAACATGAAAAACTGGAAAGAGATATTGATTAAAGAAGTAATATGAACAGGAATAATGGAATTAAA